CGACTAAATGTTTCACGAATTCTAGAAAAACATTTTCATCTCCTACTACTGAACGATCGCCTTAAACAGATATTTCCTGAAGTTCTCGTTGTCTCCTTCCGAAAAAGCAGAACTCTTAATAGATATCGTGGTTCACACAAAAGTGAATTATATTCCACCAAAAATGGTTGTCATCCATGCAATAAAGATTGTTGTCAAACCTGCAAGTTCATAAAAACTATTGACTCATTTTCTGACAAGCACAACCAAAGAAGCTTTAAAATTCCCAAAGAAGTCACTTGTGGAATACAAAACACCATTTACCTTATACAGTGTAAAGAATCCAATCACCAATATGTAGGACATACACAAACAACTCTAAGAGAACGTTTCAACAACCATAAATCTTCTATTAACGCCAAAAAAGATCTCGCTGTTGCTCAACACTTTAACCAACCCGGTCGTTCCATTAACGGTGTTACTCTCTTCGGAATTAAAACAGAATTCAAAACTAAAGCTGATAGAGAAATAAAAGAAGCTTATTGGATTGCTAATCTAAATACTGTTCAACCTTTTGGAATTTATCTAGAACCTGGAATCTTGATCTCCGATCATTGGTTTCATCTCTGTCGCAAAAAATTAATTTTTATTCTTTGCTTATTTCTTTCTTGTAGCACAAACTTTAATATTTCTAAAACTTACTATCTAGTTTAGATAACTTTCCACATTAGTTGTATAAATCAATCAGCTTAACATCTCTTTCTCAATCAGTCGTAAAGTGTCACCTTTATTTTATTTAAACACTTAAATATAATTATTTATTTTTTAACCATTTCTAAAGCAAAATATCCCTAACACCTTTTTATATAACACTCTCGTTGCCAGTCACATTGTATCAGAAATGGAACACACTTACAACAGTACATGGAAAAATAAACTTAATATTTCCTGGAAGACCAGATGACCTTCTTGATGTCACTCAACTCCCTTGATATGTCACTCATTGGATTAAACCACCATTCCCAGTTTGTCCCTGAAGAAGAAAGGTCCACCTTTTTAAAGCACTCGAGTTATAGGGTTTTTATCGTTTTGTGCTTTTGCATTTTGATGGTGAATGAGAGTGAGGTTACATTTGGTCTTGATGATATTGATTTTGGTGTCACTGCTAGCAGACCTTGTAAGGCAAGTATAGGGATCATTGGAGTTTTTTCTGTTAACTGTTTTAACAGTTAAATAACCAGTAAAACATCTGGAAAAGTCAGTTTCCTTTGTATTGTGAGACCTGTTGATTCTTTGATTGTGTATTCATTATAAAATATTTCATTGGCCTTTTGATACATACTGCACCTGTTTTTCATAAGTATTTGTCTATCTGATGGAAATGCATACAATAAACCAGTTTTTGTTAATTTTATAACATCCCTTTACAATGTATCTTTTTCTGGATATTCTGGAACCACTACAACCAAGAGGCATGGTAAGTTTACACTCATAATCATGTACAATGTTGTTGAATAGTTAGTAAAGAATCACCTACAACAATATACATGGAGTATACTATTGAGAGAAGAAGGTATCTTTAACATTTACAGTTGTTTTGTCTGGCTAAGTCTGTTGCGTCTTCTTTCTTTTGTTTACTGTACTGGAAGTGTACAAATTCTGATATGATTCCTTACTTCTGCTCACATATTAGCTCTTCCCAATTTTGTGCTGCCGTTCATATGCCCTAAACTCATGCTCAAACCTTCCACCAATAGGAGTAAGTTACACCCTCCTAGCACAGCTGACTCCCTCTATACTGATTGTTCAATCATCACTTCTTGATTTGGCACTTGTATAACAATATGTCTTTTTTTTTCACTTGTGAACTTTTCAAGTATAGGCATTTTTTAATGGAAGTACCTGCAAAGACATTACCTGATGTGGAAGTATTTGTTGTTGGATGTTCGTATTCCAACATTTTCTGCACCTGCAGATTTCTTGGATTTTTGTTTCCACATTATTATTTCATAAGTGTTAATAACTTCCACTTTGTCTGATGTGAAACAATAAGATATTGTTCACACTAATCTAACGACTATATTGGCATCAGATTTGTCTTTGTCTGTTGGGAAAAATGATGGTTTTTGTGCAGCAGGTGGTGGAGTCTCTCATGCTGCCTGGGCCTTCTTTTATACTTTAAATATCTTCATGTGCATTTTTTGTTTGAGACAGAAGGGACTTTGCTAGTTTTTTTCCCACCACCTACTTTTACTTAATCCTGTACACATGCTAACTTGAATCTACCTATGCCTTTTTCATAATTTTGGGACAGGGTTTCTCACTTATGTTTCTTTCTCTCCTTCACTTTGTAATTAGTTCCCTGCTTATTACTTTTATTTTTTTTTACTCTCTCTGGACATGCAAGTCTGTATGTTTGGTTACTTTTTCTTTACCATAACTTTGGTGCATGCATGCCTTGTCCTCCTTCCTTTGGTACTTTCTATGAGTACCTGTTTTATGTTTCTTCAACTCCTAAGCTATGAAGTATTTTCTTCAGATTTGGAGGTCAGATCCTCTGTCTTTTGTTTGCCTTTCTTAGACTTAATTTTCCCAACTTTGTCTTACATTATTTTCCATTTTACATAATATTTTCTTCCACTTGCCTTCTTTCTGTAGTAATCTCACATTCCCCTAAGATGTTTTTCAGTGGATACTTGTTAACTTATCTTCTTTACAGTGGCATTTTTATCTTCCACGGCCTTACCTTTTCATATTTGGTTGATCTGTCGCTAGAGATTATTGTAACAGGTGCCCTTGTTACACAAGTGCTTTTGTCTCCCTTTTATCTCATATACCTTCAACTAGCTCTTGTTATTTCTTTCGATTCACATGTTGAGGCCATGTGCCAATATTATTCCTTATCCTCTCTGGCTGCCATCTCACCTGTGCTTCTCCTTTACCTTTTTCTGTCTATTGTCCTCCTGCTTCTTCTTCTCTTCCTGTTCCTCTGATCCCATACATTTTCCCGCCACTCATAGACTTCAGTGCTGTCGGTCTTGCTGGTGACTAGCCTATTGGCTCAGGATCAGTAGGGACCATTTAGTTCAGTTTGTGGACATTTGCCCTCTATTTGCAGTCAATTGTTAGGTACTGGGAATTCTGTTACCAAGCTTTACCCTTCATTTTTTCCCTCTTATCCTCCATTGTCTTCTGTTCCTATTACCTTCTCCTCTCCATGGGGTCTTGTTTCTTGCCAACATCAGTCCATGGCAGTGTTGGAACTAATGGTTCAAGATGCTATCGGATGGGTTTCTCATTCCTTATCTAGGATTTTATTCTTGTCTTTTCATTGCTCCCATTCATTATTCCCAAGGTATCCATAGATAGGAGTTCAGTCATAGATATTTCAAGTCTCAGTCAGTTTTTCAACCTCCCTTGATTTACCATGGGAACTTTTCTCACCCTAAGGTGGTATTTTGTACCAGATCTGGGGGTGACCGAGGTGAATGTCTCGGATACTTCTTTTCTTCTTTGGATCCATCTGAACTAGTCTTCTCCAGCCCTCACCATTTGGGAGGCAGCACATCTGGATTGGTTGGTAACCCTAGAAGAGTCTCATCTCACATCCACTCAGTATCTCATTCATTTGGTAGTTTTTCATTTTCATCTCCACAGGGCCAAGCTTTCTCCTCAGCATTTGTGGGACATGATGCAGTTATTTGTCCCATGCCCTATCCTCTCCTTCTCTCACTGTGTGGGAGATTCTCTCTCTTTTGGGGACTTGGGATTCCTTGGAATCCCTTATCCCCTTGGATCATGCTCATTTTCAGTGTCTACTTTGGACACTGCATGATCAATGAAACCACACTTGGGATCCCTTGTCCTTCACCATTCTTTTTCCTTGCTTGTTGACTTCTCTGGGTGTTCCTTTTCCTCCCTCTTATCTGGATCTCTATCTCTTTACAGATGTGTCCTTTATGGAGTAGGGGCATATCTTGACTCTCCAGAAATCTCTGGTCGGCTGTCCCGCAATTAATCATCCCTTCTTACCACTCTCTTATGATGGCTCATGGACATCTAGTAAAGATCCACTCAGCCAACTTTACAGTTGTCTCCTGTACCAGTTGCCAAGGGGATACCTGGTCTCTCTGTTTCCACACTCTCAACCTCCTTTTTTTTTCTGTCCCATTATTTACATATATGTTTTATCACCTGTCATATTCTAAGTGCCCTGCATCTTGTCATAGATCATCTCTCAAGGCCCAAGAAGCTACTACCTATGGAGTGGTCCCTCAGTCCTCTGGTGTTCATGTAGCTGTATTCTTGCCACTCCTCTTCTAGTTGCTTTTGCCACTGATTTTGACACCACAACTCTCATTTTCTGGTCCCTCTGTTCCTCATCTCTCAACTCTGACTGTGGATGCATTCAGTACGAACTGGCCCAACTCTTTTCTCTATGGTTACCCTCCTATTCATCTTCTCACTTGTGTGCTTTCCCTCATTCAGGACACTCTCTGCTGAGTCCACCGGATAGCTTTGTACTGGCTTGGCCAGAGTTTCCTCTGTTGAACTTTCTCTAATCCTCTCTTCCTCTACCTCTGTCACACTCTCTATTCCTTCAACCTCATTCTTCCTTTTTACATCTGGCAGTGTCATCACTCCATCTTCACATATGGGTTTTGTCTGGTTCTTTGCAAGATGTTCCAGATTCCCTTCATGTGTAGCCTTCTTTCCTTCCTTCCTTGTTTGATTTGTTCTTCCTCCCTTCTTATCTATCAATGCTAATGCTGAGTATTCAGTACCTGGTCTCTGCATTGGGCTTTCTCCCCTCCTTGGCCTTCTGTCCCCCATTTTTCTGAATTTTTTATGCAGCTTTTCGACAAAGGCTTATTGCTTTTGACCATTGCTGGCTGCAGGATATCTCTATTCTCTTTTCATTCATGTGTAAAGCTCACATTTATTCATGTCACAAGCATTCTACTTTGGAATGTTTTGTTGGATTTTTTTTCATATATTATACATGAAATAAAATAGTACAAATTTTACTCTGAGGGTGCACTTTAGGATGTTAGAATACTGGATTTTGATATCAACAGAATAAGGTTATCTTTGTGCAAAACTTACTTTTTAAATAGTTTTAAGTGCTATTTTAATGCATGACATACTGTCAAATTGCAGTCAGTTATGCATTTATAAATTGTGTTTCAAAATGCCAAAAGAATAGTTTTGGTTTTGGAATTAGTTGTGAAGTTTGTGTTAGTTATTAATCTATGTGGGATTGTAAGTGCAGTTTGAGCATGAATATCAGTTATTCAGATTTAATTTGTATAGTTTGCATATAGGGCTTAATTTCTCATCCCAATTAAAGAAATAAATACAGAATTTCATGAAAATTAATTAAAAAGACATACAAAGAATACAAATTTTCTTTAAGTGTTAGATTAGTTCAGCTATAATGAAATGTGAAAAAATTTAATTGCTTTTACCTGATAAAAACATACAGTATTTGATGTGTAACTTTGTTCGGTTTTTTTACCTATCTGGGTACTTACAACCTAATTTTAAACTTTGTCACTCACCCACTCTGTTTTTGGAAAAGAAATATGGTAATGTCTTGAAATCAGACATTTTGTATAACAACAATCATGATAGATTACCTTAGTGGTTAAGGTACTGGACTGTGAATCTGAGGGTCTATGGTTCATCTCCAGTTGCTCCCCACTGTATGCAAATTATAAGAGTGATGATCAAATCTCACTATTTGGTTACAGTAGTACAAAAGTTATTGGTGGGTGCTGTGGACTAGCAGCCTTTCAACTAGTCTATCAATTAAATTTTAGGGATGGCTAGTACTAACATCCCTCGTGTAACTTTGCACAAGTTTCCAAAATCATTCAAACAACATCTCTGAATCTTGTGTTGCTTTTTTTCCATTGTTAAGTCAGCAATATGATATAGATGTTATTAACTAAGAAATGAACATTATTTACATGTTCAAGTTCATTAGCAATTAACTAAAACGTGTTCCCAGATATTTGGTATTATTTCTAGTGTGTCAAGCATGAATCACATACTACTACACCATTACTTGTATCTCAAGCTACCAAAATGTAGAGTCACAGGTTGTTAATGCTACTGTTATTTAACACCAGTAAGAGAGATAGCTCACTTTAAAAAAGTGTACAGATATCAGTAAAACCCAATCCAGAAAAGAATTAAGAATTTGTTTTTGTCAATTATATTCCTACATATCTTTGATAGGTGATGTTTTGTTTGCTTAAAAGAGAAATATTAAAGGAAATTATTGTAATTACTTATGTTTCAGAGTTTAGAAGGTAATTGTACAGTTATAACAATAGTGTTAAAGAATATGATAAAATGTAATGGTTTACCATGCTAGAACATGTGTTTAGTATGAACATTTTTTTTTCTTATGTAGGAATTACCGTGGCTTAGTAGGTAAGTTACTTTGAAATGTTACTTTTTTAACTTTAAGTTAACTTTGAAATGCTATTCAAGGAAATATGTTGAAAACATGTTTCCAAAGAATACACGTGGATAATACAATAACTATCAATGAACGTAAGTGTTATGCAGTTTTTTTTAATAAAGATCTCCAACATATAAGTTGCAATTTCATGTATTTGTCTAAACAAGAAATGGTCAATGTAGTAAAAAAATGATCTTACCCTGTAAATCATTACTATATTTAAAGTAAGTCACTAGTAAATTTTGAATGAATTATTTGTTAGTTTAGAGATAATCATTAGGGACTTTAGAGTGAATCATGAATGAGGTTAGAATGCATTTTTAGTGACTTTAGAATGAAACATGAGAGATTTTCAGAGTGAAAGCGGAATGGGAATTTCATGAAAGATAATTTGTATTCTTTTTTATAGGCATTGTTGACATTCCTTACACAGTTTTGGAGCCAACACATAACAAACAGGATTTTGCTGATGCAAAGGAGTTTAAATTCTTGCAGAAGACACTGTTAGATTATGTTGAACAATATTACAGAGACTGTGAGTTAAGTGAGTACTGGTTAAAACACTGATGTAGTCTAAGTTCTTGTTTTGTGTGACTGTGAGTTAAGTGAGTACTGGTTAAAACACTGATGTGCTCTAAGTTCATGTTATGTGTGACTGTGAGTTAAGTGAGTACTGGTTAAAACACTGATGTAGTCTAAGTTCTTGTTATGTGAGACTGTGAGTTAAGTGAGTACTGGTTAAAACACTGATGTAGTCTAAGTTCTTGTTATGTGAGACTGTGAGTTAAGTGAGTACTGGTTAAAACACTGACGTAATCTAAGTTCTTGTTATGTGAGACTGTGAGTTAAATGAGTACTGGTTAAAGCACTGATGTACTCTAAGTTCATGTTATGTGAGACTGTGAGTTAAGTGAGTACTGGTTAAAACACTGACGTACTCTAAGTTCTTGTTTTGTGAGACTGTGAGTTAAGTGAGTACTGGTTAAAACACTGATGTAGTCTAAGTTCTTGTTTTGTGAAACTGTGAGTTGAGTGAGTACTGGTTAAAACACTGATGTAGTCTAAGTTCTTGTTTTGTGAGACTGTGAGTTGAGTACTAGTTAAAACACTGACGTAATCTAAGTTCTTGTTATGTATATAGATTTTGGTTTTGAAGAGTTTTGGTTTAAAGATCTGCAGATAGGTTTGATGAATGTGGAGCTTAACTAGGCTTTGTATGTAACTCTGAAAAAATGTTTGTATGGTTAAGTTTTAACTTCCTGGTAGGTTTCCCATTATATTCGTTAAACCCAGAAAGAAAATCATAGATAACTGACATTATTTAAATTGTGAGGTGGTATGTTTTAAGTTCACTTTTAACAGTTTCTACAGTTTGCTATGCTATTGATAGTGATTAAGTTATACTCTTTCGATATAGAAAAGCACAATGACTTCATATAAAGAAGTTTGCCACTCCCCATTTCATTCTTACAAAGATTAAACATCAGGTGGTGCATTTTTCCCTGAAATATCTTTGTTTTTGAAAAAAATATATGAGGACACTTAGCTTCAATGTCCACCTATTTGCAGTTGTGTCAACAATATTTTTATTAGGTGGTTCAATTTGATTGAGTTAGTACCATCATAGTTTTCATGCTATAACATTTAATATCTTTATGCATCTTCACAATATTTCATAAGCCTTCAGTAAACATTTCAAATCTTTTCTGTACAAAAAATCAGAATTTTTAATAAGTATTTTTACTAAACTTTTCTACAATAATACATGGAGTCAATGTGTTGACTGCTCCGAGTGCAAAGTGATTTACTTAAGATTAAAAATACTTTTTTTCATCTGAAAATTGTGAAATTTCATTTGCTTAATCTCTAAAGCCACCTAAATAAATATCAAATGTTTTTTCTTTTCAGTAAAACTTTATATTTTATCTGTTATTTTCCCTACCTTAACTTTATATGATGTCAGTTAATTTGACCAACTTCATATCTACTAAAAAATATACAAAATGAATCTAAATTATGTTTTTTCTGTCTAGAATGACCGCAAATTGTAACAGGAAACTAAATTTATTTATCCTAAATGGCTTATACCTCATAACAATATATACTTGTTTCTACTTGAATTTTATTATTTATTGCCCTTTGAACTGTGTCTAACTAATAATCCTGCCATAAAAATTGTAAATCACTTGGCAAATCTGTAGCTCATGTTATTCTATTGAATTACATAATGCACGGCTTACTTATGAGCAAACCTTGTGAAAACTTATTGTTATTATTTTCTTTGTCTTATGTAATCTAACCTTATGTAACCTAATAAGTGTCTGAAGTTTCTATTTTTAGTTATTTTTATAATAATAAACAATTTTTTTACCACCGATGAAACTTAACCCTAATTTTTTTATCCTAATGGTAATACTACAATAAATAGTTTTTACTTAATTAAGTATTGCTGCTAAGAACACAAAATAATACATAAAAAGCAGACAATGTTCTATAAATATCATAATTTTTCTGACTTTCTAACTATATGATAAGAGCTGTTAAAAATTCAGCTAAACTCACTGATGTGTCTCCCATGAGAATAAAGTTTGAACTGGAAGCAAAATAGACGATGCAATATGACACATTGTTTGAAGGATTAAAACATTGGCTTTCTGTTCGTTATGTAGTATAAAACGTCAGAGAGAAGTATTGGCAATTTGTTATAGGTGAATGTGGCAAGTGGGTCTAATTTTCTAGTTTTGGGCACTGTAGACAAAAATGGATTGAAGGCTATCAAAATTATGCTTTATCTGAGTAATAATTATATTTTGATTAGTAATTTGTATTAAATTCAATAATTCTCAGAGGGATGTTAAATAAACTGAAGAAGAAGAAAGATCTAGAGAACAAATATCACAATTCTCATACTAGAGGAGGTTGAGATTATTTAAAATATTTCCTTATAAAATTAACAACTTAAAATTTATATAGTATTAAAACTTAATTTATTAATAACATTTTGATGCACAATTTATTTGTATACCATAATAATAAAGTAGTTTAATTAAATTTTAAATGTAATTCTTAACAAATTGTGATCTGTGCACTTTAACTTGCCCATGACAACTGTGTTAAAATCTTTAGAGTAAAAGTTTATTTTAAAATGTTATATTCAAGTAACTTGAGCACGTATCATGCGTTATTTTCGATGGTCATTGTGATAACTAAAGAAAATCAGCTTCACAGTTATGTATATTAAAACATACTTTACAGTAGATATAAGTTGCTATAAGGAGTTATCCAAAGTATTACCCTCTCACAATGGACATTTTTTTTTATGTGCATGTCCTGAGGTTTTAGTGAGTTATATTCAAAATTTAAGGTACTTTATTATCATGGTATGCAAATAAACTTGACATCAAAATATAGCTAATATTCCAAATCTTAATATTATATAAGTTTTAAGTTCTTAATTTTAGAAGGCAATATTAAAATTAAATTCTCAATTTCCCCTAGTATGAGAATTGTGACATTTGCTCTTTAGGTATCCCTCTGCTCAAATTTATTTATCACTCATCTGAGAAGTACAAAATTGAATGTAAATTACTCATTATAATGTTGTCGGCACTCAGGCAAAGTATAATTTTTATAGCCTTTAATCTTATTTGGTTATAGAGCCATAAGCTAGAAAATCAGAAATCAGACCCCTTTTGCCATGCCCATTTGTCACATCCTCTCTTTCACAAGTTGCCAATAGTTTTCTCTGACATTCAATACCATATTATTTGTAATCAATAGAAAGTGAAGGTTTTAGTCTATCAAATAACCTATGTTGTGTTCTGTACAGAGAATTGTCTGTTTCACTTCCAGTTCAAACTTTTTTTTCCCATGGGAACACATTGATGAGCTTAGTTGACATTTTAATGGCTCTCGTCACATAGTTAGAAAGCCAGAAAAATTGTGATAATTACAGGAGATTGTCTGTTTTCTGCAAGTTATTATTTTCTGAGCTTTGGTGCAATATTCATTTCAATAAAAAATTATTTAGTGTAGTAGTACCTTTAGTATAAAAAAAAGTAGCGTTAAGTTTCAATGACAGTTGACACCAAAAAATAGATGATCTTTGTAGGTACTATATTTCTTGTTTTTTCATGTGTATTTTTATAAAAGTAACTAAAATGTAAAAAGTAGAAACTTTTTATATTAAATTAGATAGGATAAACAATAATAATAATAAAAAGAATGTACAACATATGCTTACATGTAGCCTGTGCATTATGCAATTCGATAGGATAACATTAGCTACACATTTGCCAACTTGTGTGGCAGGAATATTAGTTAGACACAGTTCAAAGAGTGATAAAGCATTAAAATATATGTATAAATAGATGTATACTGTTGGAAATTTAAAGTTATTTAGGATAAACAAATGTAGTTTCATGTTACAATATGAAGTCATTCTAGGAAGAAAAAAAGGGTGATTTAGATTTATTTAGATTTCTTTTTGGTGGTTACGGGGTCGTCAATTTGACCAACCTTGTATAGAACTCTATACAAGGATAGAGAAAATAACATGAAATATAAAGTTTTAATGAAAAAAAAACGTTTTAAATTTATTTAGGAAGTTTGAGAGATCACATAAATGAAATTTGAGAATTTTCAGATGAAGAAAAGTATTTTTAAACTTACCATAAAAATCACTACACTCGGAGGTCGACACTTTGACTCCAAATGTTCACAGAGAAATTTTTAGTGAAAATACTTCATTAAAAATTCAGATTTTTTGTCTCCAATAGATTCTTAATGATGCCTAAGAGCTTGCAAAATTTTGTGAAGATACCAAAACATACTAAAACTTATAGTATGGAAACTACATTGGTCAATTTAGAGTCACAGATTTGGACAAGTCCATAGCGAAAATATTAAACACATTGTTGTTCAATATAGTGTGTTTTAGTGCTTAATTTGCCCACAGTATTAAACTATTGAGTTTACAGTATTGTTTAACCATTTCTCAGGAACTAGAGAAAACTGGGAAATTTAACATAATATCAAAAATTTTATATTTGGTTCATTTATTGTATGTTTTATTGAAGAACCATATACACAAACCATGCATAATTGGATTCAGTGGGAAAAACCTTTATCAAAGTACACCCATATAGTCAATGGGAATAGAAATAGCTGCTATAACAAAAATGCCCCTTTAATAAACAAAGTGTTAATATAATGTGGTTGTAGTACCCAAATTACCCATAGTTTTAAACTCTAGAGTTAACAGCAGTTGTTTAACTCTGTTCACAGGCTGAATTATTTTAACAATCATGCAATTATACATACTGTAAGTTTCAATATGGTAAGTGTATCTTCACAAAAAGTTGGCTAGCTTTAAGAAAGCATTACAAGTCTTTTAAGTGTTCATAAAATTTTATCACTAAATCAAGGACTTAAAATTAATACAATGCAACTTTTTTTGAATGTCAAAATTTAGATATTTAACATTCATTAGAACATACTGATGAATTTAATATTAATTGCAGTGTGTAATAATTATTGTATGCT